ACCCCTTACTACCCGAAGTAACCCCTAAACTCTAAAGACCCCTTACTACCCGAAGTAACCCCTAAACCCTGAAGACCCCTTACTACCCGAAATAAGCCATAAACTCTAAAGACCCCTTACTACCCGAAGTAACCCCTAAACCCTGAAGACCCCTTACTACCCGAAATAAGCCATAAACCCTACAAACCCCTTACTACCCGAAGTAACCCCTAAACCCCAAAGACCCCTTACTACCCGAAGTAACCCCCTAAACCCTGAAGACCCCTTACTACCCGAAGTAACCCCCTAAACCCTAAAGATCCCTGTCAAGACGCCGCAATAAGCCAAGTTCCGCTCCCGGGTCACCTGGATGCTGAAGCCAGCCTGGTTTTGTGCTTTGGGTTCTAGGGCTTAGGGTTCAGGGCTTAGGGATTTTTGCTTGGGTTATGGACCTTCGGGTGAACAGCGGGGGAAAGGAACTGTTGACTTGAAGGAGCTTAGGGAGCTTGGGTAGTATGGCTTAGGGAGTTTCTGGGGGGGGAGGATACTGGATACTGGAACAGTGATTCAAGAAAGGCCTGTGGCCTTCTTCAAAGCTTTCAGCTGCAACTTTAGCTTCTTACTTGAAGGCTCAGGGGACTTAGTAAGTAGGCTATAATTGGGGTTTTAACTACCCTAACTGGGGTTATCCTACTTATAATCCTTCTTATAACCTACTTGCTAAGTCCCCTGAGCCTTCAAGTAGGCGCAGTAAACTTTGGTCCAAACCGCTTTGCAGAGCACTTCATAGATGAAGGGCTCCTCATGGCAGTGGCTCATTGTAACCTGGGTGGCAAGGTTCGCAAGATCACTCTGGTCTGGTTGCGTGCAAAAAGGCAGCTATCATAATATTCTTCTGGCTGCAACTGTTCTCAAAAAGGAAGAGTGCCGAATATGCGTCGGTGGGTCAGGCAGTTGGACTTAGAAGGCGCAACAACAATTTTAGGTACCCAAACATTGCATCCTACTTATGCGAAGCGTCTCACCGGTCCGCTACGAACCATTACTGTTCCTACTCCAACCCTACATAGGCTGCCCAATGGGAAAACATCCTCAGCGCATCATTCGCCCAAAGCTGCATGAAGTGGAGCCCCTGCTGTTCGGCAGGCCTCTGGCAGGTCGACTCCTCCATGAAGCTTGCTACTGCAGAGTATGATACTCGTGTGAACTCTACATGTAATACGCTCCGATACACAAGGGTACAGCATGCTGGACGGTACGGTGTTAGGAGTATACCTACTATGCACGACTGCATTCTCGACAACGCTCAGAAAACAAGCACGCATGCAAATCAAATGTCCTATATGAACTCCACATCTGTAATTACAAGCACGCACACACACTCACACACCCAGACACACACACACACACACATGCAAGTTCTCCAACCTCGCTCAAGAGGGTTTGATTGTTGCGTGTAAAGAGTTGTCTGCAGGTGCTAGGGAGTCCAGACTGCTGCCTGGAATGACTGCTGAGTTTTGCTGCTCAGACTGTTGCCTGAGTCACTGAAAAAGGGCTCACCTAAACCCTAAACCCTTACACCCTTGAACCCTTAATCCTAAACTCCTAAACCCCACAGCACGCTCTAGACTCTAGATGCCGGTTCACAGGATTCCAAGATGTGGTTTGGGCGGCCAACTGCCGGTGCACAAGGATGCCTTAGGTACTGTAAGTCCTTAAGAGGGATCAGAATCAGGCCTTACTATAACTGTAACTAAAGTTTCTCTAGCTGTTACAGAGTGGGGGCAGTATCCAACTGATTCCTTCATCCTTGCTTCAGGAGCTCTAACCGGGGGCTTTTCTTTCATTGGCTCTGGGTCTCAGTTTTGCTTTCATCCGCGTCAAGCCATGTTGTGACGGCTTCAATGCAGAACCTTCCCAGGATGTTTCGCTCGCGCACGCACACGAACACGCACGTGCGGGTGTGTGTGTGTATACATATATATATGTATATAGATATTCGACTGTACTCCGCTGCTGGTCTAAGTCGCTCCCTGGCAAAGTACCGTGTACAGAAGACTCTCTGCTTTTTTTGCTTAACTCGTCAACTGCAGTACACGAGAGCTTAGCAAAGCGATTGCAAGGCCAAGCCATCATGTAGAACACAAATGCCAATCCCTGAAGCCTTTCCTGGCTGCAGGCCAAGGTACGATGATGCCGCAATACTGTTTACACCGAATACTCCACGCTTACTGCACCATAGCCGTTATACTGCTATGCATCCAAAACTTCGAGGTTGTTCCTGGATGAGTGGCTTGCAGGGGGCAATCCAAGACAGAGCCAAGTGTCCGAAGGTCAGCTGCCAGAGTGTGAAGATGGAGATGATGGAGCAGGCGCAGAGCGCTGTCAGCAGAATGATGCATTTGGTTCGCCTTTGAGACTCTTGTAAGAATGGAAAACTGTAGTACTTATTATGTAATATAGTCTAGCAAAGACAAGAGTGTATACTAGACGATACAGATCAAATAAAATTGACTACAGTAATCGATTGTGCACGTCTTCCGAGCTTGCTGTGGATTGGACTCCTTCTTTCCCGCCTCATCATATCTCCGCGTGAAGCAGGCAGCACGTTTTGCTGCTGGTCATGGCTTGCGACATGCACTAAACGTTGTCGGCGAACTCTGCATGCAGTCACGAAGTAGTCAATAGTTGGTACTGTTAGTAGTAGTAGTAGTAGTAGTAGTAGTATTAGTAGTAGTAGTGGTAGTAGTAGTAGTAGTAATAGTAATAGTAATAGTAATAGTAGTAGTAGTATTAGTATTAGTAGTAGTAGTAGTGGTAGTAGTAGTAGTAGTAGCAGTAGTAGTAGTAGTCGTAGTTAGTAGTTAGTAGTGGTGGTGGTGGTGGTGGTGGTGGTGGTGATGGTGCTAGTACTTGTTGTTGTTGTTGTTGCAACTGTTGTTGGTCTCCCCTCCTGCCAGGCTGTTCCGCCCTGACACGCAGCCGCACTATGACGATGTCGAACAGGGCAATCCAGGCATGCTGCAATACAGTGCACTACAATATGTTATGTTCTACTCCAGAAAAAGCATATGATTGCATCGCAATATACCACAGTGTGCCATGACGCGTTGTAACGTACAGTGGTATACCATCCTGCACTAAGTTCTTGTCAACTGCACCCCCGCCCCCATGCTTTTTTCTTCATCAACTTTACGTCCCCGCTTCAGCCGTTTTTTGGCACTGTACGACTGCATTTTAACAGGGTACTCTGGAGCTTAGGGTTGCAATTGATGGGAGGGTCGGACGTTGGGAGTGGGCTGCTTGGTGGGTCGGTGCTGACAGTGGTTTTTGGCCTTTCAGGGCTCAGGCTTCATGCGGAAAACGCCTAGTTGGGCTAGAATTTCTTCACCCTGCACCGCCCTAGACATGCATAATGGTTTGTAACGTCTTCTTTTACCGTCTGTCACCCAAGATCTTTTTCATCGGAACCCCAGATCTCAGGGCTTCCTAGCCAGGATCTCCATTTAGGGTTTACCGGTTAAGGGCTTGGGCAGACGATCTTCGAATTCATCTGCTGCCCTGGATCCTTCCAGACCCCCTTGGGTTCCAGAAACTTCAGCGCCATCGGGAACATTCTTTAGTCAAACCTTCCAGATTCAATCTCCAGCAGCTGCAGATCACAACACTCTTGCAAAGAGAGCCATTTTTACTTGCACAGATCAGGCAAATTGCATCTTCATGGATTCAACGTTCCATCTTTGTGAACGTCGGGATGGCGGCTTTCACATAACCAGCCACAGAGATGTAAGCCAGGAGAGTCCCCAAATAAAGAAGCGGAACGCTTGCAATGAAGACAGGTGACTTGAACCCTGCACGGCAGCTCGCAAGTAGACCACAGAGGCTGAGAAGGGTTACAGCAGTCTTCACCTTGCCCCAGATACCCACTTGCGTGAGGTTGCTTTGGCCAACTGAGGCGGTCCATTCACGCAAGGCACTCACGAAGATCTCGCGCAGTATCATGAGGACCGCCGGAATGGCAAGCAGGGCAGCCGTCTCAGGACCTCCTTGTGAATGCTTTCTGGGTGAGTGAACCATATACCTTTGCCTTATGACTACACATATGTGGGGGATACGTACCAAAGCTCAGTTGCACTCTCCTGCTGTTGGCAATAGCACCAGAACAGCACATGCCAGAAGCTTGTCCGCCACTGGGTCCAAGAACTTGCCGAAGCGCGACATCACCTTCCAGCATCAATCTAAGCACTGAAACACCCCACAATGCTGGTATAAACGACATCATTAGTAATAGTAGCTCTGAGAATCCAGGCAGTGCGGGAATGGATGTAACGATCATAGCAATACGAATTCCAGCATTTAGGCAATGTAGGCGGTATCGGAGCCTTCCAACGCCGCGCAAGGTAGCCATCGATGCCATCCGTCAATGAAGCAGCCGCAAAGATGCTGGAGCAGGCCATTGGACTATGGCGCCATGGTGTGAAGAATAAAACGATCACCTGGCTTCCAGACAATTACGAATATGAGACCAACTAGTAATGCTGTGATAATCTGTGTCACCCGAAATGAAAATGTGGAAGCCGCAAAGAGGAAACCAAGTGCAGGAAAAGCCGAACAACATCTCAAAGAGGAGCGTAGTCACCGGGATGACAGCTAGGATCCGCGAGACCGTCAAGATGTTGGGCAGTTGGCGCTGCCAAAGCTGTATGCCGTCTGGCTCTGCACGCCGTGACGTGCCGAAGGCGACCCTTTGAGTGTGTCAGTGAGAATAGCACTGAAAATCACGCGTCTACAATCATACTGGTAATCCTAAAGCTCTGAACCCGGCAAAACACCTGTGCGGCAGGGCGGACGGCCGTGCAGGCACCCATGCAGCATGAGGTGAAGCGGCTAGCCAAGCCCTGCCCTGGCGGGCAGGCAGCAAGCACCCAGCCAAGAGGCCCAGGCTACCTGCACGCCGCACCGCAGCCATCCAAGGAAGCGCTGCAGGCTAGTGACGCTAGTGCTCGCTTGGAGCTCGTTTGGAGACTTCAAAGATTTTCTGTTCAGTTTAGCCTTTAAGAGCTGCCGAAATCTTGCTCAGCCTGAGGGATCTTCTCTCTGACATTCTTGCAGCCTTACAGCTGGCAGGATGCAACCTGTCAACCTTTTTGTGAACATGCTGGGAGCAAAAGTCCAGTGTGCCAACAAGCTGCATTTCTGCAAGTCAGCTATGAAGCATCTCAGGTTCTTGCTTGTGCGCAGCATTTAGCGCTCCAGCAGCACCCCTGCTTTTTATCTCCACTTTCCACGAAGGGTCCGCTCCAGCCTTGAAGAGGTGTAGCTTCGATCATCTCTGCCTGCACGTGATTTCAGCAAGCATTCCCTCTTCTGTTGTTGCCAAAATGCTATTGTCCTCACGCTTACCACTGCTTTCAGTTAGCGGATACCATTTCCATT